CAGGGCGGGGGCGGGAGAGGCCCGGGCGGGGGGACAGGACCCTCCGCGGGTCTTTGGAGGCATTGGCTGGGGGCCAGGATCGGGCCCGCGCCGGGATGAGGCCCTGCGTCCCCTCCACCAATCTGCAGGTGCCAGGATCAGGCCCCGCGTGCGCCCTCAAGTATTTTGGTCTTGAGTTTGGTGCTGAGTTACCCGCGTTAAAAGATCAGGCTCTTGTTTATAACCGTAAGTATTGCTGTGCCTGACAGAGGTCTCCTCGTGCTGCGAGCCTGCAGTGTTATTTTATGGAAACAAGCTCTTGCACGACGTGCACCCTCCCAGTCTCCAGAAGAGGAAAGAGAGAACATATTTTAAAAAAAACCCCCAAGAAACCAGCAGCTTTGCTTCGAGCAGCACATCAGAAAAACCTCTTGCTCTTCTCCGGGTCACGTCTGCTGGGTGGGATTCGGTGTAATCGAATACTTGGCATAAATTTTGCTAATATTCCTATATCGTTTCGACTGCCCTTTCTCTCTGAATCCCGTGTCACGATCGTTATTTGGTATTTCCAGCCCGCGCGTTGGGCTCGCGAGCAATACAGATTCATTGGTCATTTGCTCCTAGCAGATTAACAGCTGGAGAGGAATTATTTATCTTTCAAAGTAACCCCACGGCTTTTAAAAATGCTAACATCTGAGAACTTGCATAGAAGCGTCCAGGCAGCGTGAAGAGCGGGTGCTGGGGAGCGCGCTGTAGCCACTAACCTCCAGTCCCAAGTGTGTTTTAAATGTTCTCTCCAGTTGCGAAGCTGTGCGTCTGTAACCTGTTGGTGGCACAGTGTGACATCAATTGCTGCTGCGACCCAGATTGCAGCGCTGCGGACTTCAGCCTCTTCACTACGTGTTCAGTTCCCGTTGTCACGTAAGTTTATAAATGATTATAATTCTTTCAAGTTGAAATTACAGAACTGTGTTACACTCTCCATTGAATTCTGTAAGAAAATGTCCTTTGATCTCAGTGGGTGGAGGTTTGGTCCTGCAGTTAAAGTTTCAGCCGTCTGTCTTTACAGCCAAAGAACGTTTCCAAGGAGCGGGAAGATAAAGGTCTCTTGAGTTGTGAGACAAGGTTCCTTGGGTGAATTTGATATCTTTTATTAGACCAACCCGAATAGTTATTAAGCAAGCTTTCAGGTTCAAAAACCCTTCGTCAGGCTAAGGAAATTTCAGCAGTTGGTGTGTGCTCTTCCTGGATGGAAGTGAGTTGTGATATTTTCTGCAGTAAGAGATTTACATTGTAAAAGGTCCCTTTTGAGGAGCGTGGGGATATTATCAGTAGTTCTGTGGGGTAGCATCTTTCTTCACTATAGCATAGGGCTGATACTTAAATTCCTACTGTTGCCTTCGGATTGATTCCAGCCTACACCTGACATGAGGATGAAGTGATGTAGCATCCACCTGTTATCGCTTCGGGTAGCTATGTGAGACAGGCTTGGGAACTACACGGATTTCACTTAAGTTAGTATGCCGTTCTCCGTGCCTGGGGCTAGGTCCGTCTGCTCGGATGGGAGACCTCCACAAAAAGTTTGGGCTTGAAACAGACTGCGTTTGATTTCTGTGTCAAAACAGTCTCAGTGTCTTGGCACAGGGGTGTCAGGCCAGTGTCAGGCTCATGGGCTGGATCAGGCCCACCAGTAGTCCAGCCGGCTGGGGAGCGTGGCCTCCCACAGAATTTAGGGTTCCTGGACCCTGATGGACATGGCTGCTGGCAGCAGGCTCCCAGACCCACACTGCTGCCTGCCCCCATGCTGCCACCCAAACACAACCCCTGGCTCCGTATTGCTGCTTGAGTGCAGACCCACGGCAGTTGTTGCTGGCCTGGTGAATCCAGCCCTGAAGTAGCTCCTGCAGTCTAGATCTGCCCCAGGACCTGGGTAAATTTGAACCGTGTCTTAGCATAACAGACCACTACTGGTCTACCCATGATAGTTTGAAAACCCTGACTATAGGAGTTATAATCATGTTAACCAGAAATATGAGAGAATCAGAGCCATCATTAAGTACCATGAGCTGATCTTTGTTCTCTCTAGGAGCAAGCATTCTTTCTCTCCTCTCTCCAACAGCCTTTGGAAGCTATAGAGTAAAATATTAAAATATATTCCAAAAATCAAGATAATTGTACTGACCATTGTTTCCTTTTTGCGCAGTTATAGTCCATTTTAGTACATACCTTTTGTATAGACTTCAGCTTCTTAAACAGGAGTTAACAAAGCTCATTTTAGACTCAATTCAAAATAGCTCCATGTGACTTCTCGGAACAATAAGTATAGCTCTTCAGCCCACTTCCTGAATAAATTACCCCGATTTGAGTGCTGGTTCCTGATTCTTTGAAATTTGCATCAGAAGTCACCTAGGACTGCTGTTTCTCATTGTTCTTGCACACAATGCACATTGCTACCTATTTATAGGTATTTATATATATTTCAGAAAGGTCTAATAATGAATTTCTGAATGACAGTTTAATCCCCGGCTGTGAATATTCTGGCCCTGTTAACTAGAAAGGCATAAAATCAAGCAGTATATTTTTTTTTTTTTTTTTTTTTTTGTCAAGATCTTTTGTGAGATGTGGCAAAGGATTTTCAATGACCATGAGTGGTCAGGGCTTTGGTATTACGTGGCACTGCGCATGTAAACAGCTGTGTTCCTGCAAGGATTGTAGCAGATCATAAGATGAAGTGATCTTTGCAGCCCTAAAGAACAGACAGTTATCATTTGTGATGTGATCTACCTTATAAAGCTTACGACTTCCTGCCTACCAGGTCAAGTCAACTTAGAATCACTTAAAACCCCCCCGAAAAATAGGTCTCTGGATTACGTATAGTCTGTGGCCATTTTTGTTCATTTTGATAAGCTATTTCCCCTGCTCTTGACTATTTTTGCATTATCTACTCACTTTGTCATATGAGTCACTTCTGTGTGTTCAAGTCAACCTGACAGTTTTTCACTGGGCATTGCTGTGTCCAAGTGTAACATCTGCTAGCCACTGAGGTACATGGGAAGCCCAACTTGTCAAACAAACTTGTGCAAAACCAGCTTCTGGCACGATCTTCCCTGAGGATGCTGGTAGCCTACATGTTTCTAATTCCATCCCTTGTCTCCTCTGCATTGTGTATAGCTAATTCTGAATTTTTAGAAGATGAATTATAATTTCACTGCTCTTTTAAGTCCAGGCACCTCATTTTCTCCTGGCCTGCTTGCAGCTCTCTCTACAGTCAACCTAATTCCAAGCATAAAGAAGCATTACATATCTTTCAATCTCTCTGTAACGCATTCTTCATTGTGCTGTCTGAAGCCAATTGGATACCTTCCAATTTGTCACCTTACCTCTTACATCATTTTCATCAGATGCCCTTTATCTCCGCTAGCTGCCTCTTATCTTACTTCAAACTTCTGCTGCCATTACTTCTTTTTTCTGAAATAGTTGGTGAAAGGTGCCCGAGAACCACTAATTACTGTTCTTGGTTACTGGATACGCAGTATGAAATGGTAAGTTTTATAAGGCTGCATAAATTATCTTCAAACCAGATTATTAAAAGTATTGCATCTATGACTTTCCCTTTGCCACAATAATATATGCATGCGAGGACTTTTAAGATAATGCTCTTGGGACTGACTTTGTTGAATCTGTCTTTTTTTTTTTTTCTTTTTTTTTTAATCCACAGAGGTGACAGCCAGCTTTGTAGTCAGGAAGCAGCTGTATATTCAATTGATGTTACAGCACACCCACCTGAAAGGATATTTAAATTAATTGACCAATTCAATCCAAACATTTTCTGCATTCAAACTGTAAACTGTAAGTAGTCCTATATTTGTTAGGTCTTCTAAGCCTGCCTTTTACATCCTTTGGGTATTAGAAATTAAGACCAAAACTCCAAGTAACATACTTTTTGCCAGAAGATTGATTATCCTCTACAGTGGTGGAGGGTGGGAAGGAGGTGCTGATATATTCCTAATCCTGGTAAAACTCCAAGAGGCACATCCAAGACGTTTTGCTTTTATAGAGTCACTCTGTAGAGAAAATGGGATTGGTTCTAACCGCTGCTGGCTGAAAACTTCTATCACAAATGGTCATGGGAGAGAATTTCAGTCGGTAGCAGGTCTAACTGCAACTGATGGGAACTTGACAAATCTTTCCAGGTCCATCTTGAAGGAGCTTGCAAATAAATCAAAAAGGATTGGCACTGCCTGTTGTTCATGCCATCATGACTGTGAAAGTCACTTGACAACCATGCGTACTTTATAGCAAGTGTGAATGCTAACCAAAATGTTTTTGGCGTGTTTGGTCATAGAAGAAATTTTGGTCTTAAAGGCCTCAAAATTAGAAAAGCATTTGACCATGTCCTTAAACTTCAGAGCAAAGGGTTAGGTACTTTCCTGAATAGAGCCAACTCATGGTTGAAAAACCTGCTTCTTGGAAAACACTGAAAAATGGTCTTCCATTTTGGCATTTGGGGTTCCTATTTTTATAATATCTAAGAATATGTTCCTAAATCCATAATAGACATGTATGTTAAACACTATTTCTATAACTTGTTCTAAAATTTTCTCTCTACGATGTTTTGACAGATAAACAAGCACTGTCTTTTATTCCTCCTGAAACGCCAACAGCTCAAAATTTTGATCACTTGCTTGAACAGTTTGGAGGTGCTGCTTTCAGTGCTGAATCTGATATATTGAATACTGAATTGGATGCACAGAGTCCCTTCTTCTATTCAAATGAAACAGCTAGATATGAGGTAAGAATAGTCTGGTTCTTTTTTCATTTACAGTTTCAGATATCCTTGTTACCATGATGCCATAATGCCTTTCTCACTACTGCATCATGTGATAGACAGTTGAATAAACTTGGAAGTGGAACTATTTTTTCTGAAAACAATGCAGCAGATTTTATTGTCCTTCATTAAATATAAAAATGCCAAATGCTGCAATTTAGCATTACGTCTCCTTAAAAATCAAAGTGGATTTTCAACATCTGGGAAGCATGTGCATTTTCCTTGTTTTATAAGTGAGGGGGAAAAAACATAACTGAAAGGGCTATTGTAGTCACTGGGGCTTGTCTATTAATTTGTAACTGCAAACTTTTAAAATGTGGGTTTTATCTATTGTCTTTGAGGATATTTGTTGTTGCTTGGGGGGGTTGTTTGGTGTTTCTCTCTTTTTTTTCTTCAAATAACTCAAGATATTTTGGAGGGTTACTTAGGATTATAACAAACATTTAGTTTAGCAGTAAATACTACAATTAAATATCATCTTGACTTAGATATTTGTGAATGAAGAAGTTTAGTTGCTTGGAAACAATAGTGGAATCAAACAACATTTTGAGTTCTGCTAGGATAAGTTTTACAAAGTTTTCTGTGAACTGGACATAAATCTGCATGCTTGGGTCTGTCTTTTTGTTTGGCAGTATGGTGTTCCTATACAGACAGCCGATGCATTTCTGAGACTGCCCAGTCCCACTGTCTCCTCTCAGTGCTCTGATGCTAATCCTGCAGGTTGGAGAATATATTTGAACTCCTGTGTATCCTCTCTTGACTGTATTCTTATCCTGCTACTTCATTTTATAGATGAGTCAAATGAATTAGCATGGTTAAAGTCTTATTAAAAAATGTTCTTCAGCCGCTTTAGTGCCTTTTGCAGCTCATCGAGAGGTACCTTTGTTGCAAATGCATTAAGAGTTGGATGTAAATACTTTGGGGTCCTGTCAAAGGATTGTTTAACCCATTCTGGAACTAGCAGAGCATGGATGCAGTAGAGTAGCATGCTGCCTGCAGCTTTTACAAGGAGTCTTAATGAAGCCAATGAGGTTCCTAGCACAAGTGAGCGTTATTTGACAAAGAAAGAACGACAGGATTGGGCCCCAGAGTTATATCCCTATTAAGTGTCTCAAAATGCTGTAGAGAGAAATACAAAGCCATGTGTGCTATATGTTACAAAAGCCACTACATTATCAATAAGAATACTGTTATGGGGCGCATAATGGGGAGAGAAACATGGAAAATCCCTAGCTAAAGGGGGGAAAAGGCACAAGTGCACCTTCGTTTCATGTAAATGATTTATTTTCCAAATTTTTGTTTATAATTGTAGTGGAAAAATAAATGGTCAGCACTGAATTTAACCTGGAATAGCAGGATGTTCCCTGAAAAAAAAAATAAAGCTTCTTGGCCGCAGTTAGGCTGTTTGGATGTGCAGTCATGGGCACTGATTCCAATCTGAGATCATGGGCCTGCTGGGAGGTGTTATGAGCTACAGCAGTTTTTCATTTGTCAGCTGCCTAGGGATTGCTTTCTGTGCTGCATTTTCTTGGTACTCTTACGTGCTTTGCTTGTCTCCCTCCCCCAGGTTTTCTAGTAAACCAGGCTACAAAGTGCAGTAGAATGATAAATACGGAAAACTGTGGTGTTATTCAAGAACTCAGCATGCTGTTCTACACCAGCTCCCACATTTTAGTGGCAAGTATAGCTTTAAAATGCATCACATGGCTGACAGTTATTTCTTTTTCCCACATCTTTAGAATGAAGCAGTTTCCATTTCTTAAGGGAGGCGGGTTGATGCTCTATTTCTGTTAGGAATTGAAATAGTGAGCTTGGATTTGAGGGAAGAAACTTCATATCTTGTAAACGTCTTTCCTTTCAAGCTTGCAGAGGTGAAATGCATACAGTAGTCAGTTCAGGCAACTCAGGGCACTGGTTTCCTGGGATTTGTGAGTGAACTAATGGCAGTGATTTCAATTTTTTTCACATCTGCGCCTAAGCTTTTTTAAACAGCCTGTTGCCAAAGTGCTTCATCTGGTGGCAGATCAGAAGTTATTCAAGTGGGGTCAATGCTTATCCTTGGAAAGCATGTCAAAGTGGATCCCACTGTAGAGGTACCTGTATGTATCAGGACAGGATGTTTTAAATAGCAGTGTTTGTCATTGTCACATGCACAACTTCTGCTCCCATCTAAGGGCACAAAGGAGAAAATGGCTGTGGCCCTCCTTCAGTTCCTGTGGACCGCATTGAGGGAGAACCCTAATACGATCTAATCTACCTCTGTTTTAGGTTAATGCTTAATTTTCACTACCTTATTCAACTGTGGGCTGTCATGTTGAGTATCCTGCAAGAGCTCACTCCTGTGGGGGGAAACCAAGGAAATGTGGCTCCCCAATAATGTTACAGACTACGCCACAAATGCCTTAGCCTGACATCAGCACGTAGAACCTCGGAGTAGCAAATGAACAAGAACACTCTAATCTTCATGAGCAGAACTGTTTTGACTGAGAAGGCAAGGCATTCACATCTGCGCCTCCCTGGAGGGATTAGACACGCATCCCAGCAGAGACAGCAGCAAGCCTGTGTCAACTGCCTGTCCCCCTAGGTCAGGTACCAAAAATGACCAAAAGCAGGAGATTTAATTGACTCGGATAAGAAGCAGCATAGCTGTCTCAAGGGCAGGGTCTAGTTCTTATACATATTTGAACTCCAGCTATCTTAACTATGGTAATACTGAAATGTCTGACAATGCTTGGTCTTATGTCAGTTCATGTGTACATGACACAGCTTCTCAGACTTTACCTGCGACACTGTCAGCCCTGGCTCAGGTCAGGCTGTTCTCCAAGAAGATGTCCAGTAAGCAGGAAGTTCTCAACAGCACATCATGAAACTGTAGAGCTCTAGGCTGGAAACCATGAGCGCTGCTGCTCAAAAAAAAGTCCAGTCTTGCATGCCTACACAGCGAGATCCACTTTAGCTGCAACAGCTTGTTGAACCACATTTACTCTAGGGTGTGTAACCAATCTTTTGCATAATGTTGTTATTAAAATATAGCTTTGAAGACTGTCCCCTCTACACCTGACACGTGTACCTTTAATGAACGCATCTACTCTACCTTCTCATTAACATTTTGTCAGAGAAATCTCCATCAGCTTTGCCCAGTTTACCAAGCCAAACTGCTTTTAGCTTTGTTCCATCGGTGTGTCATTGCAAAAACCAACAAACCCCCCCCCCACAAAACATGATCTAGTTGACAATTTATGTATATTGCAAGGCACTTACCCATTTGTAGCTCTATTAGTTCTGCAGAATTACTGTAGCAATAAGCAAAGGAATCTGACACAAAAACAGCTGTCAGGTAAAGTGCAAATGCCATTTCTGCAGTCAGAATCACAGTTGCAAACAGACCCATATGTCAGGAGAAGGTAGAGCAGCCAAGATTCAATGCCCTTGTAAAGAAATGTTGGATCCACTTATTCTTTGCTGAATGTTTTATGAATTTGTACATAGCCAAACTTGGGCCTGAGGCAAGGTCCACTGAAATCAAGTGGAAACTTTTCATTTATTTCAGTGAGCATTGGATCAAGGCTGTAGAAATGAGTCATGTTAGTTATTAACACTTCAACCTTGTGGATAATACATGGCATTTCTGGGTATTCCCATGATATGAAAGCCATTGTAATAATAGTTGGCAAAAGAGGAGGAAGTAGCAAAGCCTTTAAGCTGTAAACTCTTACCTTATTTACTTATAAGCCGTTTGTAGCTACCTAATATTTTCATTGCTGCTTTGAAATTGCTCTTTTATTCTTTCCTAGGTACCCAACTCAAGCCAGATGGTAAGTATCTTATTTCTTAATTGAGATGCACTGAAAATGAAGTCCTGACTCCACCGAAGATAATAGGAGATTTGTCAGACTTGTGGAGCCAGGCTTTCAGTCTTGCTGTTTAAACGCTAGCAAAATATTCACTTGGAGACAGGAACGACGTCTTCTGTCAATAATGGTACAGCTTACAAATAACAAGGTGCTTTAGAGCTCGCAGCTACCCTCTGAGACTGCTTATTCATTCTGATGAACAAATCTCCACGCAAACGTACCTGTAGACTTGGTAAGCTGGCATTTGCTAACAAACCTAGAATATTTGGCTGCTACATTCAGCAATTCGTGCGAGCCAGCCCTTTATTCAGAACGTTACTGACTGCTGTCTCTGTGGAACAGAAAGCAGAGGGTGGCTTGCAGGTTTTAGGCTGTGCACTTCTAAGGAAACAGACAAATGCTTGTAGCTTCCTCTAGGGAGGAATCTGCATTGTAGCTAGCAGTTGTTTTAAGGCTTGATTTACAGTGCTGGATTTCTTTCAAAGAAGAAAAAGTATCCATCTTTCAAGGCCAGTTCATAGTGTGTGCCTAACAATTCAATTTTACTCTATATTAAGGAGTTACTTGCTTTTCTTAGGTGAATATCACTGTCCAATCCATAACTTTCCAGTCTCTGAATGGAACTCGGACTCTACTTAACAGCACCGATGCCATTTTGTTCCCCATGTTTTCGGGTGTTAACATGTGCACAAACATAGTTCTTGGGGTAGGTAAACAAACTCTTTTTCCTTTTATTTCTGAATAAATGCACATGATTAGAAACTTCTACTTCAAAACGTAAGACTTTGAGGCAGCCTTTTGCAGTTATCAGACTATGACAATCCTGGTTAAAAGGTGATGGAGAACCTATAAGAGACTTTCTCCTCCCAGTTACAACCCACAGCATAGCATTGTGCAACTGAACTAAACATTCCTGATAATTGAGAGTGAGGGATGGGATTAAATCCATAGACACTATTACTGGTATTTTGCATGCATGCATGCATGACACTGAAACAACAACATGGGGCTTAGAAACCAACATGAATAAAAGCTGTGATGTTTGGGAGAAGATTACTCTTAGGCCAGAGAGAGGGGAGAAGGCACACCAGAATAAGTAGCGGTCTCTGTAGGATAGTGCTAGTCACTTTGGTTCGTTTCTTTACATTTGAAGTAATTCGATTTGAGGATTGGCTATGGGGAGGCTGTATCAGGAAGTGCATTTTGATAAACCTGGGGAGCTTTAACCTAGTCCTACATGCTGATAATTAACACTGACTTGGGAGGTAAAGGAATTGGGCCAGTCTCTTGAAATGGATACTTATTTATCCTCACATCTTTATGTTGCATTTTACTCTCTGGTGAGACAACCTTCTTCATCTGTTTTGAGTCTCTCAGTTCTGTAGGCAGGAGAGCTAGGTGGCAAGCTAGGATAACTAAGCAGTCATTCTGTCTTTCTCACGGTTAGTTGGAAAGATGGGATCTTTCCTACTGACTAGGAGAAAATTAGAATCTGGGGAAAGGTCTCTCTCCATTCATTTATCAATCCCGCACGCTACCAAAACATGTACCTGCTGCTAGGTATGCGGCCATGCCAGACTTTTCATATGTAACTATTATAAAGTGGCAGTGCTGATCCTGCCATGCTGTGGTCTTGTGTTACTTTGCTTGGGTATGCTCCAACTGAGAATGCAGCATATTTCCAGATGGTGAGGACGTTCAGTAAGCACGTTTACCCTTAGAGCAAGGAAAAAATGTGCAAAAGACTTTAATCTCTGTATTTTCTGGTTTTTACATTCTTATTTACTTGTTCTAATTAATATGCGATTTTGTGTTTGTTTTCAGGCAAGTTATCTTCTTACATACACAGATGCAGGAGAAATAACAGAAGCAGCTGTTTCTTTTGTCCTGGGGACAGTTAACAGTACAGTGCTTTCAGTACAGCAGAGCTTTGAAATTAGCTTTACTCAGGTAACTTTTAAAAATGTCATGGATGACTTGTTGAGAGATATTTAATTACAAACTTAAGCTGCATTGGAGAAAGTGCAGTCAGTGAAAAAAAACATAGTTCCACCTTATACACAAATTAGGCAGTATCTCAGAGCTACGCGTTAGAATCCTCCAAACACCTCGTCTTTCCTTTTCTAGATTAAATGGGTGACTGTATATGGCCATATCCAGGCAAAGGAAAGTGTGGCCCTGATTTCAGGAGGCATTCTTGTAAATCCTAAGGGAAGGTCTCATGTAGATTGATAAATCAGACAACTTTCATGTGATTAATAACCCCAAACCAATTTACCCTGTCTTCCAAATGAAGAGTAGGAGCTAATGTTGTGCAGTTTATATTACAGCTAAACACAAAGCCAATCCCTCTTAGTGGAAACCCTGGTTACAGCGTTGGATACCCTGTAAGAGCAGGATTTAGACCTCCCGGATATCCTTTTCATTGCTAACTATGGCTTAAAGCAGCTTTGCAGAACTGCCTAAAGCAAATCCTTCGGGTGGATGGTTAAAACCTGATTGCTCAGTTTTTGTGATAAAGGGGAGGCAATTAGATGTTCAGTGCTGGTACATCTTCCTGGCCATTTTCAAAGATGGTTGATGGCTTTGTTGTTGTCGTTTCCAACAGTTACATAACACCTGTCTCTAGCCCATATTTTAGCAATTGCTAATAGCTCAACCCTGCAGTGTTACAGACCAACAAAAGACTTTAGTGAAAGCAGGGCCAGGGCCTAATTGAGTTAACTCCAGCATTTCTAAACAGCTTCTTGAATATCCTGAATTACAGTAGCAGTGGCACGAGCATTTTGAGGAACTGACTATGGTTTTCTACTTCATCACAGTGCCAGAACATTAAATATTTTTTCCTTAATCCTTTGCTATCACATCTGGCATTATTCAGAGCACTAATGAATATGGTCAGCTTACCATCCTGCGAAGCACATCTAACCAGGACTGCTTAGCGATAGAAGGAGCCAGAACTCCTGTATTATTTGGTTATAACATGATATCTGGTTGCAAACTACGGTAAGAGGATAACTTTCCATTCAGCTCTTTGCAATCTGTCTATCCTCAAACTATAAACCACTGTAATAGTTCCATTAAAATCCTTTCAGCCACTGGATGCTGCTTATATAAAAATGTAGAAGGATTGGGGTTTGAGTGCTTGTTCTTAATAAATATTTAAATTAGCAATGAGTTATCTGAAAATAGTTGCATGTATGTGTATGTATGACCAGCTGTGGCCAAAGAAATGTTGTAGTGCGTGAGCAAGAAGTTCTTGCTGTACTAACCCAGTGGATCTCAGTAAGTTAATTTTTTGTTTTCCTGCAAGAATTACTGCATATGCAGAATGCCAGCTCCTGGCTCAAACGGTCCTAAACATACTGAAAGGACAAAGTTTTCCAGAATATGTAGCCTCATTTGGCAATTCTCAGCCCCAAGATGTATTGGACTGGGTGCCAATCACTTACATCCATTCTTCAGAACAGGTGAGAACAACTAAGTATACTTCCACTTAACTTATAGACTACTTGTCATACCCATACTTCCATTTTCCCTTAAGGTGCGGTTTTTTGTTTGTTTGCTTGGGGGTTGTTGGTTAACATCCTGAAGTATTCATACAGTTTTCCAAGGAAGAATTCCTAACGCACCCACTAAGTTGTTTGTTTTTTTTTTTACATCTGGAAGCTTTTGCATCGTACTGCTCTACTTTAACAAGCAGGCCTACATCACAAACAAGCACAGCTCCATTTATGTCTGCAGTAGAAAGTCACTGAAGCTTTAAAGATTTACACCAGCTGAAGCTAGAGTTATCTTATCTTTATCCCACGTAAAATGACCAGCACATGGACATCAGCATTGTGTGTAGATTAGTGGTTTTCAACCTGTGGTCCACGGACTATATATCTAAGGGGTCTGCAAAAGATGACTGTGATCAGGCAAAGGTATGTGAATACCCTCATTTACAATCCAAAGGGGTTTGTACCTCCATTCAAAATTTCCAAAGGGGTCTGCTAATGAAGAAGGTTGAAAACCACTGGTGATTATGGCTTGGATGAAATGTTCTCTGCTAATTTCTTAGGTTGAGCTGTGTGTTATACTGTAGTGTTTTAATAAAATTAATGGTAATAGCTACTCTGACAGAGCTTGGACCACTTTCAGGGCCCGTGCCAGCTCCCCATATCATTTGAAATAGAAGTGAAGTGGACTAAATATGGATCCTTGGTCAACCCACAAGCTAAAATAATTAGTGTTACAGCAAGCATCACTTCCTCCACACTAGCCCTGGTATGTAGTTATCTTTCATGATAAGGGTAGAAGGACAGTTTGTTTTGGTTAGAATGAGGACTTGATTTTTTTTCTGCTGTAGAAAACTGTAATTGTACGTTACCTATAACACACAAATTGAGGCCTGGTTATGTAAGTTTGCCTTAGCTTGGTCAGAAAGCTGCCCCAGCGTAAGACTGTCTGTCAAAATAGAGTGTGCATCTCTCTTTCTTCTCCAGAACAAATGCAGCCATGGTCTGCTAGTTAACAAATTAGTGGGTGGGTGTACACACTTCTGGAAATAACTTGGTACATGTGCTTTACAAATGACAGTCAAATAGCTAACTGTTGAGGGTAGGGAGAGAAATCTGCCCTACAAAACCAGACTGAGCTTAACACTTGTGTTTTCATTGCAGACTAATTTAAGAAGCAAAAACACTCTCCAGATAGCAAGTTCTGTTACTTTCATTGATGTTTCTGCACCTGCAGAGCCAGGCTATAAAGCTCAGCCAACGATTGAGGCCAAGCTGCCCTTTGACTTTTTCTTTCCCTTTGTTTAAAAGTAAGTCTGCAGCTAACACTCATTCATATTCTAGTTCTTAAAGAATCGCTTAATATTCATCTGCTTTTAAAGATAACTGAAAATGTAGTTCCTATTCCGTCTTCTCCAAAAGAATCTCCAGGACTAAAACCCCCTCCTCTTCAAAATCTGCACCCATAAGGGGGGATTTTCAGAAGTGCCCAGTGTTGATTTTGCATGGCTCAGATTGTAGATGTGGGGGTAGGAGGTGAATTATGCCATAGCAAGTGCCCTGGAAAAATCTCACCCATTGGTTTCTATACTTCAAAGATATGAATGCACTCAGTGAACAGGCCTGTCACAGCTTCATCCAGCTTGTTTGGTAACAGAGTTGCACTGGATTTTAAAAACAAGCTTTGACAGGTTATTCAGGTTCCTAATTCTTCCCAGTAGCCACACTGTCTGTGTTTATGCATTCCACTATTTTTGCTTTAAAGACCTTTAGTTACACAGTTCTTTTGTTTCCTAGCCCACTTGCAGAAAAAAGAGTGCAGGAACCCTACAGAGAGCATTCAACCATGCTGGACCGACTTGGTTGTGGCTGAATTACTTGTGCTCCTGTTCCAAATGCACGCCTTGGTGCTGCTCTAATTAGTAGTCATCCACATGATTAAGTACCACAGCGCCTCTGGAAGACAGTGCTGCACAGCAGAGTGGTGGTACACACAAAGCAAAGATGAGTAAAGAAGCTACTTTGATGAGACTGAAGGAAATAAACCAGCAGGTGGATTAAGGAAAAACAGTGCTGAGCAGGAAATCCCCCTAAAACAAGAAATGACCTTCCACAGATTGGACTCTTACCAGTTGTCACCTAGCACAAGCTCTCACCAGATATTGCAGTGCTACAAAGATGCAGCAGAAAACAGCATCTCCTTGAAATCAATGGTGCCCATAGAGCTTTGTCAAGATCTGACTTTAATAAGGTGTGGCACAGCATTACTGTACAGCTCTACAACAAATAGAATGTAGATTTACATGGAGAAAGTTTAATTTTTCAGTAAACTGCTGTAAAACTACTGCTTAATAACATATTTTACCACCCAAAAGACTTAATCAGAGTGGTTTGGTTAAGTAGAAAATGTACAAATGGAATGAAGAGGTACAGAGGTATAGAAAGATCTCTCGAAGAGGTCAGCCACGGGCATCAAGCACAGTTTCCAGCACTAGAACTCCCTCCATGGAAGGATTTCCCACAGCTGGACTTCTACTGCAGATGGCTGATAAGTCCATGCTGCTTTAAGAGTCTGTTAAGCCTTTCAATTTCTTGCTCCTGTTGGAAACAGTTTAATAAGTCAGTGATATGTGCTTTGTGGTAAGAGCTTTTCCAAGCTGTCACCAGAGAGCTCCCTTTCTCTGCTGAACTACAGTCACTTCTGCAGTAAAGCAGGACAGCTATTGAACAAGACATGACTGAAGTAACTAGGGCAGAGGTGCTTAGTTCTCCCTGCTGTTTCTATTGCAGAAGGTAAGAAAAATTATTAGTTCAGTTGTAATGTGTCCTTGAAATGGCATCCTTCTTTACAGGAAGTGCAGGGGCTCTCTAATGCTAACTGGACAGGAGCTAGATGGTTGGGGCCCAAGACACAGCACCCAGTTAGGACAGGGAAGATTCAGAACGGACAGAGCCATGCCACTGATCCTTCCCCAGGCAGAGAGCTGGCTTAGCCTGCCATCTGTTCTACCGCTGACCACAGATGGAGAAAAGCACATTTGTTTCATAGCAAGGTTTCTCACCTTCTCAGCACAACTGTATTCAAGTTGTTCAACCTTTGTAGTAAGTTGCAGGTTTTCTTGCTTCACCTTGGCCACTTGTTGTTCAGAGCGGGTCTTTACCGATAAGATTATTCCTGTAAAACAATTCACACAAGATTTGTTTTACAGTGTAA